CATCCCGGCCGCCAGTCTTCAACGTAACGGCCTCGTTGTCCTGGCTGAGGGGATCGCAATCTGCCCGCGACAGCTCCGGCTGCCCGCCTGGCAGAATTTGGCGGGGAAGTGCAGGCCGCATGGTTGGCCGCCAGGCTGGGGTCGGAACGCGTCCGGCGGCCAAGGCAGACTCGGCCTCGTGGCTCGCGGGGAGGGGTCCCTTTCGCTGGCGCTCGCCTTCGGACCTGCGCCTGCTGTCGCTCCCAAGTGCGCCCCCTCTGGACAGCGCCTGATCCTCTCCGCTCTCTGGGGTACCACTGGTTGTGCCGAGGACGTGCACGCGCTGCGGCGCGACTTCCACAGCCGGGGCGCGGGCTGCGTCGCCAGTGGCGCTCTGGGCGCCTGGCGAGGGCGCCTCGGGTTCGCCGTCCGTGCGGAGCTCGCTAACTGGGGAAGGGGGGCGAATAGGGGCAAAGCGGCTTCTCCCGACTAGCCAGCGGATGGCTTCGCTGTCCTGCGTCTGGATGGTTGTTCCGTGGCGTCCCTGCTGGGTGCGTGGCGGCCCCAGAGGACTACTGGCGCTCTGATTGCCCTGAGGGGGGTTTTCCGCGGCTTCCGCGGCATCCGCCGTCTCCGCCGTGACATCCCACTCCTTTCCTCTGTCCTGCTGGTACAAAGAACTGATGACCATTGCCCTTCTGTCAATGTCCGTTTCGTTCCTCGGCGTTTCAGTCGGCATGGGGGTGCTGCCCAGAGTCGCAGCAACCGAGGAACCGACAGCAGGTTGGGGGGAGTGTCCATGCACAGTTGGGCGGACGTCCTGAGCAGAAGGAGGAGGGGGAGGAGAGGAGGAGGAGACGCAGCCGATAGCCGCACAATCTGGTGAATTAAAGGAGGATGAGGGAGGAGTGGCCCTGTGTGTCTGCGCCGCTGGGGGGGTCTGTTCGCTCGTGTACTTGGCGGGGGAACTCTGTTGCCTCCTTCGATGGGTTCGGCTCGCCTTTCGTCGGGCAAACCCTCGGCCTGATTGTCCTGAGGGCGGTGCTCCGCGGCTTCCGCAGCCTCCGCCGCCTCCGCCGTGACTTCCCGCTCCATTCCTGTGGCCTGCTTGTGCAGCTGGAGGGGGGGTCGTTCGTATGAGCAGTGCCCTGGTCACTGCAGGCTAACTCCTCTCGATTCCCCGCTGGGACGTCGTCGTCCGACCACGATGCGGGGGGTGGTATCGTGACCTCTGCCTCTACCGCCTCTCGATTTCCCCTCTGGGACGTCTTCGTCTGTCGACGCTACGGGGGGCGGGCGCGCTGCCGCTGCTGCTGCGGCTATGCTCCGATGTGTCGTTGTGCGTGGCAGTATCCCCGGGATGGTCGTCTGTCGTTTGGTGGTCGCCGTCGTGGTCAACGTCGTGGTCGTGCTCGTGGTCGTGGTCGTCGTCGTCGAGGCGACGGCGTCCGTGGAGGTCGTGGCCGTCGTCATCGTGGACGTGGTCGTGGTCGTCGCCGCGGTCGTGGTCGTGGTCGTTTTCGTAGCCGTCGTGGTCATGGTCGTCGTCGACGTGGTCGTGAACGTGGACCTCAGTAGTGGCCAGACGAAGGTTGGCACTCTCGGCACTCAACCTGCGCTGCCTGACCGTGGCGTCGGTGCTGTGTGGACCGATGGGCCTCCGTCCGAGCTCGCCAGGCTTCCTGGTGGGGCCCGGGTTGTACCCGAACGGGCCCGACTCGCAGTAGAAGCAATGCGCCGCGATCTGCAGCCAGAGTGGTCCTGGCACCGTGGGGAGGGCAGCCAGACCGTTCGGGATGTCCTCGAACTTCCCCACGAGAGACGGGGGGATCTCGCCAGGACACTTGCCAGCAGCCTCGGGCGTGCTGTGGCCCCTCGTGGCGAGCGTGCTCACCCGCCCATCCTTGCCCTCTGTCTCGCGGCGTCTCTTGAAGGCCGCGGCGTCGACATCCTTCGTGAGGTCGGCGGGGTCCCAGAGGCACACTGGCGCCTGCACGCCCAGCTCGCTCCCGAAGGAGCGCAGCGGGGGGCCCGTGTACGGCGCCCAGTCGCCCCAAGCGCTGCTCGAGAGGCCATCCTGGTAGAACATCCCGATGATCGCCATCATCGCCAGCCTTCCGTTCGCGGTCTCGGCGTTCAGCTTGTCATCGAACTTCACCTCGAGAGTCGGGGAGATCTCGCCAGGAGACTTGCCAGCGACCTCTGGCGTGATGTATCCCTTCGTAGCGAGCATGCTCACGCGCCCATCCTTGCTCTCTGTCTCGCGGCGCCTCTTGAGGGCCGCGGCGTCACCGTCCTTCGTGAAGCCTGCGGGGTCCCAGAAGCCCACTGGCGCTTGCACGCCCAGCTCGCTCTCGAAGGCGCGCAGCGGGGAGTCCGTGTACAGCGCCCAATCGCCCCACACGCTGCCCGAGGGGCTGTCCTGGTAGAACATCCCGATGATCGCCATCATGGCCAGCCTTCCGTTCGCGGTCTCGGCGTTCAGCTTGCGGGACTGGGTCTCGTCGGCCGCTGGGCACCCCCAGGACGCCCGTCGTGGCGAGCATGCTCACGCGCCCAAGCTGGTCCTCGGCGGCGGCGGCGGCGGCGGCGGGCGCCGCGGTGGGCGCAGCGGAACCCGCGGCCGAGGCCAGCCAGCCGCTGCCCCCGGCGACACAATCAGTGGCCGCCGCCAGCGGCCCGCTGGCGGCAGCGACGGCGGCGGCGGCGGCCGTGTCGGCCGCGGCGGGCGCACCGGCCGGCCCCAGCGCAGCAGCACGCGCCACAGCGCCGGCGGCCGCGGCGGCCTCGCCTCGGCCGGCCGCCGCGACGGCCGCGGCGGCCGCGGCGGCGGCGGCGGCGGCGCGGCGGCGGCGCCGCCGGTCTCGCCGAAGACGACAAGGGCCCCGCAGGGCCGCGGGGGCGGCAGGCCGGCCAGGCCGCGGCGGCGGCGCAGCCGGCGGCGGCGCGCCGCTGCCGCCGCCGCCGCGCCGAGCGCGACACCATGGCCGTGTGAGCGGGGGCGCGGAGGGGGGCGACCCCTTCCACGCCCCCGCGGGCGGGGAAGCCGAGGACCGAGGGGCGGGGGCCCGGCCAGCCGCTGAGGCCCGCTTGAGCCAGAGCGGCTTGAGCCAGGCTTGAGCCAGAGGGCTACGGACGCTGGTGGCGATACTTTTTTTTTACAGCCGCAGGCGGAAGCGCCAGCGGCGGCGGGTAACGGTCGGGCTGCGGCCGCTACAGATTGGCCGGAGGCGCGCGTGTACCGCGGCCGGCGCCGATCGGCGGGTGCAAGGGTGCTGCTGCCCAGGGAGTCTGAAGGGGACCCAGCACCCAGGGAGTGGTAATTACGCTGCCAAAGTGGCGCGATGCAAGACCCCAACCGTGTCAGTCCAACAAACTGGTGGCGATACGCGAAGCGTCAAGAATTGACCGGCAATGACACGACACAGAATCGATCCGCGGCTGTCTGTGGAGATGAGGCCCCCCTCGGAGTCGAGGGTAGCACAGAGGCATTCGCAGTGACGACAGGGTGTAGCGAGAGGACGGGGATCAGGAGAAGGACAACAAGGAGAGAGAAGAGGGGGACTCTTCCATGCACGAGCGAGGAACAGGGCGAGGGGAGGAGGAAGCGGACAAAAGAGCAATAATAACAATCAGAGGAGAACGACGGGCCGATCGGGCGATCAACAGAGAACCCGAGTCCTTCGTGGCCCGCACCTTTAGCCGAGTGATGCCAGCCGCTTTCTCCTGCGGGGCGACGGGTCCCAAGCCCAACAGCTGACCCGATGTTGTCATGCCACCACCGCCAGTGCAGTCGCCACCGCCGTCTCGCCGCTGCGACTGCCGCCCTGCCACCTGCTCTGCTGCCATCTTCCAGCTGCGCGGCTGAGCATGGCCTCGCGCCCCGTGGCCCCTTTCGGGCGCAAGCGCTGCGGATCGCATGCGGGCTTCGGAGGACGTGCACGACGGCGGCGCCCCGCTGTCCTCCTCCAGGTGGTGGGCAGAGAGGCTTTCGCGCCGAGGCCCGGTGCCTCTTTCAGGCACTCGTTCTGCCAATCGCACGCCCTGTTTCTGGAGGGGGGGAAGGAAGCGGAGAACAAGGTGGAGGAGAAGAAGAACAAGTCGGCACACAGAAGGCTGCGATGCGTGAGCAGCACAACACAATGTTGCAACACTTGGTGAGGCGTGACCGCTGAATACGTACATTCATTCTGGCCCTGGTGCGAATGACCAACCAAATTCTTTTCTGCTTTCCAGGAGCGCGGCCGTCAGAGGAGATCCCTTCGATCCCATCGGTTCTACACTTAAGGATCCAACTTGAAAAGTGGCATGGGGCAACCGGGAGCTTTGTGGGCCCTGGAAACGGCAGGGCCGTTTTTTTTACCGCTTCCCCCAAAAATGCCCCTTGAAAATGGAAACGGCAAAAAAACGGCGACCGGAAACGGCAACAAAAACGGCTCCAGGATTGGAACCAGAGCCGGAACCGGTCAAAAAACGGCGACGGAACCAGTAACAAAAACGGCGTCGGAACCGGCAACAAAAACGGCAGAACGGAACCGGTAAAAAAACGGCCCTGTCGTTTCCAGGGCGCCCACTGAGACCGGGAGGGAGAGAAGGAAGAGGTGCGATGCACCCGAAGGCATCATCCTCGTCACCAGGAGCTGGAGCGCAGGGCGGGCCCCGTGCCCGCCGTTGCGGCGCACAGCAGGCCCGCAGCAGGGCTGCAACGCTGTCTCTCGTCCCTGGCGGGGGTCGGCCGAGCGAGCTTTGCGGCTGAGACAAAAAGGCGAGCCGGCGCAGGAAGCCGAAGAGGCCCGCCGGCCCTGCGGCTCGCGCGCGCGCGTGCGGCCAAGGTGCCCTGCGCGAGGCGTGGCAAACGAAAGAGGGCGGGCCGGCGATGGCGCATCAGCGCCGAACATGCTTCAGCTCGCGGCCGAAAACGACGTGCACTTCTGTGATTCGCGGCATCAGTGCAGGGCGAGGCCCCGCCAAGATGTTCACTCATGCTGTCTTTTTCAAAGGTGCGAGCCGTTGAGAGCGACCGTGGGCGGAGCTGGCCGCCTTGAACGGTACCAGACATCCCAGGTGCGGCGTGTACAACCGCACATCGGGAACGAGGGACATCAGGGGGCCTGCGTCGCACGACTCGCTCCGCCTCCTCATTAACGGGCGAAGAACGGTATAAACTAAACTTTTTCGCCGTCGGGGGCGCCTGTCCCAGGGCGGCTGGAAAGTTTATACCCCTACGGTGGCACCGTAGGGGTATAAACTTTCCAGCCGCCCAGGGACAGGCGCCCCCGACGGCGACAAAGTTTATTTTGTACCGTTCTTCGCTCGCTGACCTCAGTGATGAACGAGCACCTCGTGCTTGGCTCGCTCGCCCACCGGCTTTGCGGCGCGCCCCGCCGGCTCGAGCCGCCGGCTAGTTCTTCTTCTTGGCGGAGGCGCTCGGCGTGGCCTGAATGTCCTGGAGGCACAGGGGGCACACCTTATTGCGCTTCAGCCACTTGTCGATGCAGGGCCTGTGTTATGTTGTGCCCATCGTACTTGAGCACCACATCACAGAACTACAGTCGGGGCCTAGACCTAAGGAACCCAAAATTAAGGAACGAGGCCCCTTTTCTCCATAAGTTAAACTTCGATTTCCAATCGAAAACATAAGGAAAACCTGAGGCAAGCTGCGAAACACTTAAGGAACGCGGAGCCCCTCCCTAACGAAAAGGGTTCCTTCTTCGGGGCCCCGACTGTAGTTTCGAGCACTCCAGAAAGTATCGAAACAGCGTCTGCCCGACACGCTGGCGAGGTGCCTCACGAGTGAAGGCCCGACGCATGAGAGCCGTCCAGTGTCGATACTTGTCTTGCTGCTCGAGTTTCTTTCTGGTGATCAGGGCTGAAGTAAGTTGGAACATCATAAGGCCTGTGGAAGTGATGCTTGCAAGGTAGCTGGCGCATTTCATCACCCTCTTCGAAATCGGCCAAGCACACTGCGCAGCTCGTCTCCGAGCACCCGTGGCTGTGGGGGCAGTACTTTACGGTCGGCATGGTGTCGATAACGTCCTGCGTGGCTCCTCGGGGCTTGGGGAAGGGCCGCTCGCCCTGCTGCGCTGGGAACGAGTGGTAGAAGATGATCAGCGTCATGGCCAGCCTCGCAACCGCGGTGGAGATCACCGCCAATGTCAGCCTGTATAGGCCAGGGCACGGCTTGCAAGTCGTGGAATTGAGAAGCCAGACCACACCCAGAATGAACCATCCGTAGGTGACGATGGAGACGGCCTTGCTCATCCTCCAGGCTGAAGACTGGGTGAGCTGCCGGACGCACTCCTGGATGTCCCCGTTGCGTTGCTGGATCTGGCGGAGGCGCATGAAGAACACCAGTCGTACGGGTGCCTGCATCATTTGCAGCACGCAATGGATCAGCACCCAGATCCGCAGCGGCCGGTTGCACTGCTCACAGGGAGTCCAGTACATGAACAGGAAGACGCTGCAGGGAATCGAGATGAGGACGCCGGAGACGCTCCCGAAGAACATCACAACCTTGATGAACCAGGCCGCCTCCTCGGGGTACTGTTGCACCACGTCCAGGAGCGGGTCTCCGTTCTCCTGCTGCATGTTGTCCGCGCCGTCGAAGTACGAGCCGATTCTCGCCTGCAGTGCCTGCAGGCTGGCCCGTATGCCCTGCACCTCTGCCATGGCCGCTCACCTACGGCGCGGGCAGGCGGCACCTCGGCCGGCCGGGGCGGCGAGGTCGACCGGGCGGCCCGCGGGGCTTATCGGCAGGATCGGGGGGTCACCGAGGCGCCTCCCGAGCCCGTTGCTGCCCCGGGCCGCTCCTTCGGTGTGGAGCCGACACGGTTGCGGAGGCGAGGGCGCTGCAAAAAAAGTTGGAGGTGCCTCGGCCTCCTCAGCACGTGGTCTCTGCATCCTCCTGCCTCGCACACCCACTCGCGGAGCGCCAGCACGCACCTGCCGATGTGCAGGCTCCCGAGCCCAGCCTCCTCCCGCGAAGGGGAGGCGACAGGCCCCCGAGGCTCGGTGGGATCCCGTGCGGCGGACGTCTGAGCGCGGGCCCGAGGTGTGGGGACGGGAGCTGCCCTCGCCTCGCTGATTCCGGGTGGTAGCACAGGGCAGTTTTAATACATAGGATGTTTTTTACATATAGGATTTTGATAAATGATTAATGTATGACTAAATGTATGCATGAACTCATCGTTGTTCTCAATACTAAATCCCTGCATGTTTAATACATGATCCGCACGCGGAGCATGTATTTTAAACGGCACTGTACAGTCGGACTCGATTGGTCAGGACATGCGAGAGGACACAAGACCCTTCCGAGGGCCACCTGGCCACAGGAATGCAGGAAGCATGGGTCGCGAGACACAGGACACAGGGGCACCCTTGATTTGGCAGGGGCGACCTACTAATCTGGGCCGCCTGCAGGTTGGACCAAATGGGCAGGAAGCTATGCGTGGGGCCCCACGGGTGGGATAGATGGCAGAGAGCATACCGCAGTGGGTAGAGGGCAGAGTTTGGAGGGCGGAGAGCCAGAGAGTGGAGAGACGAGAGGCACACAGAGAAACCAGGGCAAACGGCAGATGCCAGAGTCTGTGCACCAACGAGCAGAGAGCGTAGACCAAGGCACACAACATAGAGAGAGGGAGAAACTTTCGAGCTCCACGTGCGGCCACCACCATCAGGCATACCTCACTTCGTTTCCAAAGCGCAGAGAACCTCTGGAATCTGGGAACCACCAGCTCAGATTCTCTCCGCTACAAAAAGTGCGGGGAGATTCCTCTGTGAGCCTCACCCTAACCTACGACCGCGTGTGGCGAATCTCCGCCTATATGGACATCGCACGCAACACGGCTGCAACCGCACGAGCTCAATCACCTCGAAAAGTGTACGGCACCTCGCCCGATCGCTATTCCTCTGCCTCCTCCTCAAGTATCGCTATTCTTCTGCCTCCTCCTCAAGTACCACCCTCCCCGCACTTGCCTGATTCAAGGCATTTCCGCATCCTCGTTCACTTGCCTTTCTCACTACTAGGAGGCCACATGCGAGCCCTACCCCTACCCCCCACGGTTTCTGAGGGGGAGGGTGGGGTTCACTTCGCTCGGGAGCTCCCGAACGAAGTGAAACCCACCTCTCCCTCAGAAATCGTGGGGGGTAGGGGTAGGGCTCGCATGTGGCCCCCTTTTTGTCCCCTCGCAAGCCCCCGCGAAAGCCTCCACGGGGCCCTCGAGGACCATGAGGGTCTCGCCAGCTGCCAACTTCCTGGGGGCGGACATCGAGCAAAAGGGTGGGGGAGCGGAGGGGGGTGGCCGCCATGGGGGGGCGGATTTCGGAGGGAGGCTGGAACCGGGGCCTTGGACACCCGTTTCGAAGCTGTTCGAGCGGGCCGCGGCCAACGAAAGCGGCCAAGGATGGGCCGAGAATGCAAGGATGCAAGGGTACCCTTGGGAAGGTTGCCCACCTTACTATGCGGGTTGACTGTAAGACTGGGGAAGGGCAGAAGGGACAGGAGAAAAAGAGAGGCAGAATGAGGAGGGGTGAGGAAACGGAAGAGGCAGAGAGAGATGCGCCTCGGCCTCCGCGTCTGCCTCATCCTGCTTCTTCTGCCGATCATCCATCCTTCCTCCCCCCTCCCTCTCCATCCTCCCTCGTCTCGGACCCTTCCTTCTTTTCTGTCCTACCTCTTCTCCCCTTCCTCCATTCTCAGGCTGATCTGACAGCTGCTTCTTCCCAGCTCCCCCACCTAACCCCCGATAACCAAGTGAACACGATTTCAGCATACTAGAACCTAACATCTCCTCCTCATTATCCTCATTCTGCTCCCCAGCCCTCCAGACCCCGATGTAGACACACACACACACAAGAACACATCTGTACATCTGTGTATATATATATATATATAAATGCATATCACGAGATCCTCCTCCAATCCTCCTCCTCGCCCTCCTCAGCCTCCACCTTCTCCTCCTCGCCCTTCTCCACTTGCACCTTCTCCTCCTCGCCCTCCTCCTCCCCTCCACTTGCTGCTTCTCCTCCTAGCCCTCGTCCTCCTCCTCCTCCTCCTCCTCCTCCTCCTCCTCCACTCCCTCGCCCTCCTCCCACTCCTCGACCTCCTCTTCCCCATCCCTGCTCCTTCTCTTCCTCCTCCTCCTCCTCCTCCTCCTCCTCCTCCTGCTCCTTCTCTTCATCATCATCCTGCTCCTCCTCCTCCTGCTCCTCCTGCTCCTCCTGCTCCTCCTGCTCCTCCTCCTCCTCCTCCTCCTCCTCTTTCCTCCTCACCCTCCCTCTCCCTCGAGGGGGAGGCGAGGCGCATCGCCCGCCACTCCCGTCGGTGGGCAGCGGCGCGTCTCTCCTGAGAACCTTGCAATTCTTGATGTCGAGCTCGTCGGTCATGGCCTCCCGCCCCCCTCGCTGCTCCCCGCCCCTCGGAAGTCTTCGGGCTGTGCACGGGCAGGCTCCGGAGTAGTCCCTGCGGGACTCAACATGCCCCCCACCCCCTCAGAGCAATCCCAGGCAACCTCCAGCCGGGACTGCCTGGGGGGGGGCCTTTCTGCACACACCAACACCCGAAGCCCTGCCTCCCCTCCCCCCGCCTGGAGAGAAACGGGCGGAGGGAGGAGGAAGGAGGGCCGTTGCAGCAGTCTGCGCGCCGTCATGCTGAAATCTCTGACCCCGAGGGCCTGAGATCCGATGTCGTGACTTTTTCAATACGGGGTCCCCGGAAGTCTCGACCGGTTCCCCAGGACCGGTGTTTCATCCTGAGTCGTTCTTGACGGCCCCGAGGCCAGGCGAGGACCCCCTCGGGGCCGAACTTAGGGAAAAAAACCTCCGCCTTAATTTTTGTCGATGCGTGGGATGTCTGGGGCGCTTGCTTCGGCCGCCACCCTCCCTAACGAAGGGAGGCCCAGCCCTGAGGCCCGGGCGGCCCAAGCGGCCCAGGCGGAGGCAGGCGGCCCAGGAGGAGGCGGGAGACCGCCACGGGCCACGCGAGGAAGGGCCACGCTCGGCAGACGGCGCGGAAAGGGGGGGGGCGGCTGCGCGGGAAGCTCGATCGAGGATCGAAGGTCGAGGATCGGAGGATCGGAGGATCGATCGAGGATCGTGGATCGAGGATCGAGGATCGAAGGTCGAGGATCGGAGGATCGGAGGATCGATCGAAGATCGAGGATCGAGGATCGAGGATCGAGGGTCGTGGACCTCTCTCCTGTCCCGGGGCCACCGCCTCGGCCGCCGCGAGGCCGCACGGGAGGGAGGGGGGGCAATGGGCAGGAGGAGAGCCGTCTGCCCGCTCGGCGTGGGACGGCCCTGCGCTGGTCCACGAGCGGGCGGCGGCAGCGAGGCCCGCCATAGGGACCGCGCGGGGGGGAGGACACCACCATACCCCCCGCCGCCGCGGCGGTTCCTGGCGGCGGCTGCCCGCGGCGGGCGGCGCTGGCTGCAGTGGGCGACGCGCCCGCCCTGCGGCCACAGGAGGCCGACGGCCAAGCGCCCTGAGCCAGCGTGGCACAGGCGCGCGCGGCGCCGTCGGGGACAGGCGAGGACCGTGCTCCAGGTGCTGAAGGCGCGCAGCTTGCTGGCCAGCCATCACTCGACCAGCATGGCGCACAAAGGAGGCGGACGTGGGCAAGGCAGTACAGATCGCAATGGCGCTGGACTGCCGAACTGGAAATGCATTGGATGTGGCAACCTGAATCATGGTGATGAACGGTGTCGAAATCGCAAATGTAATATATCATACCGACAGCACTGCCAACGTGTACATGATGAAGGCTTACGTTCAAAGGATGCGGCCAAGGTCAAGGACGAAATCAAGCACTGCATCCAGGAAATGATAATGTGCACCACGGATTATGCCAGAAGAAGCAATCTATACCGACCACCTCCATCTGGACAAGGCTTGGCAATACAAAGGGAAGAGGTAACGTCCAGGTTGCACACGCTCGCCGAGATCGTCATCAAAGGAAAGGAGGCGATGACCAACACCCAAGCGCAGCTGAAGGAAATGGCCATACTGAAGTTTATGCTCTGGGAGTTGAGGACTCCACAGGCGAAGGAGAAAGACGCACGCGACGGACTCTTGAGGACTACAACCAAGTTGGACGGTCGTCGGCGACAGCAAGCTGCGATAGAGACAAATACATTGCTGGAGCAACAAGCCGTGCTGTATTGGCAGGGTCTGGTTAAGGAAGCCAAAGAAGGAGAAGACAGGTCACCACCAGGAGCTGATGACGTTGGACACGATCGACGAAGGGCATTGGCTATTGCAGCTCCAGGAGTGAGTGCGACCACTACGCCGAAAGCGTAGGAACCGCCGCCTCCGCCTCCACCACCGCCGCCTCCACCGACTACAGCGGCTCCGAAGGTGATGATATCCGCTCAGGCGAAACCACCGCCAGATCATCTAGCAGGAGGTACGGCGACCCCGATAGCCGATGGCCGCTACATTCGTGGGCACTCTTCGGGCAATCTACAAGTACAAATTCCAGGCAGGGGTTTCGTGAGCCAGCTAGGAGGACAGAACCCAACTCAAGATGCAGCACGGACAGCTAGTCGGGGAGATGGTATGATGCAGCAACGTCATCATCGCCCCTTGCAGAGCCCTCCGCAATCCATTTACTCCACACCAGCATCCAGTCCTCCAGTGACTACGGCTCGGCAAATATCATAAGCAGTGGAAG